TGCGAGACTTCCTAAGCGTATAGTCGTTGTAACTCCTAAAACTGTGAATAAGAATTTAATTTATTAAAATTGATTTTTGCATGATAATTAATCTTTTTTCATAAACCAGTTATGATGATACCACAAACCACAAAAAAGCTGAATAAAAAAACTTACCAAATAAGGACCCCACTCCTCGTTTTGATATGGCATGGGTTTTGTTCTTTATTTTTGCTGTGTCCAAATCTAGAAACAATTCGATCGTGATAAACAAAATCTGTTCGGTTTTGTGTGTGTGTATTTTTCTCCTTTTACTTATTCAAAGAACTGCATGGGAAAATATTTTAAATTATAATTATACCTTTCAACAGCGGGTTAAGTATTTCTGACTTCTCCAGCTTATCATTAGCTTGTCTTTCACCTGAATGTAAAAAAAGATTTTTTAAAGCTTGGTGATGCGAGTTATTTAACTAGTTCCTGAATCTTTTTAATCTTTATAAAGAAAGGTATTAAATGAAATAACAATAGTTCATGTTTAATTTAAATTTGAAGCAACATTGCTATTTAAAATTTTCCTTTAGTACCTTTGAACTTCTTACCGAGACTTAGCTGCAACAAAGTAAGAACCAACAGCGCATACAAAATCAACACTCTCATTTCTGAAATAAATACATAAATTAATTTGTTTATCTTTACAAAATATTTTATAATCTTTAAAATTTCAAATTGATACAAAAAGAATGGGCGTGTACTTTAACAATTATCAGCAGTTCTCTACTTACTGAAAATATGTCTGGATGCCCTTCGCCTGGCATGTAAATTATTGCATTATCCTCTCTCTCTCTCTATATATATATATATATTCATGTCTGTAAATGCATCATCAAGTGCTCTAAGAAAGAGTTAATGAGGCACTTCAAGAATAGCGTCATTGTTTGTCGGGAAAACCGAGTAAAGGCATGAACTTTCAGATCCTCTTTATCACCTTCCCGACATATGGGTTATTCAGTTGAAGAAAGGTTAAATATTAATTGATAGAAATATAAATATAAACGTAAACAAGATAAATGTATGTGTTTTTTGTTTTTGTTTTTTTTTCTACTGAAATGTAGAGCGTCAGAAAACCTCTGAAATGTGTATAAATTTGACGTAATCGCTAACCCGAGCTGTTTAATTTGGCTTCACGTACTTGAATATGTTATTCATGACACAGTATAATTCAAATCAACCTCGAATGACAAATTGATATTGGTGTTCTGTCAAAAATTGTCAAACAAATTACTTTTGCTTCTTTTAAATTCTTTCGGCACAATTATAATACTTATAATAGTAAATAGTTGTGTGTAGAAAGAAAAGAAAATCTTCGCGGATATCGAATTCATAAATTAAAATCCTGCCGCTAATAACCAAGAGATTGCAACGCATTTTTAAAATCTGTTTGGGATTATAATCTTCCTGAAATTTTGACACTTTTGTTCTTGGTCACTAAATTTTTTTTTACTTCTTCCTTATTTCAATTGAGTTTTTTTTTTGGGGGGGGGGGGGGTGTTGTTGCTTGCTTTTGTTTTGTTTATTTCTTTGTTTTCCTTTATCTTTTCAATATGGTGATGTTTTCTTTGACGATATTGTGACTCTTTTTTTTCTCTGATATTGTGTTAATAGATACAATGATTCTGACTTGTGATATATAAATGAACTTGAATCAACACTGTTATACAAGTCTAAGAAGGAACATTTACTAGTATATGTGATGTTTTAAGTCAGTTTTACTAGTATCCCGAGATGTCACTTTGAGTATGCAAGAACACTCATTGTTCCGCCATTATTATTTGTTACCAGGGAATAGAACCTGAAAATCTTTTAAGACAATGGAATGGAACACAGGCCTTGGTTTCATAAAACTGTCGTGCGAATTGTCCTTAGACAGATACCGGTATTAAGATTATCTAAAAATCTGACTTGTGACAATCATAAGATAAGCCATCGTCGTTTTGCAAATATCATAGATATTAGAAATCATAAGAAAACTTCATGCTTCAATATTACATGGATTTTACAAGAAAGCAAAATTGTTGTCATAGATGTTGATAAATTTGATTTCAGAGATTGTGTGTGGAAAAAAGTATTGAATAAAATTTGCAAAAATATCTTTGCTCGGTGAATAAAGGAAGTTGACATAGTGCGAATTTTTTTTAAATTAGATCCACTGCTACAGAAATACCATTTGTAACCGACGAAAAAAAAGCAAATTTAACCAAAATTGAACACTATCTAATGCTATGAAGAAGGATACATGTAGCTATAAAAGAAATACTACATGTAGTAACCGATCACATCATGTCAACTACCCTAATACTAGGCGTATTGAGTTTTCACACATATTCCTGCGAATAAGGGAGGGAGATAGTCTATCTTAAACTATCTTAACTAATTCTGAAAAACTGAAAGAAAAACTAAAAGACATATTTATTTCTAGAAAAAAATTTATCCATAAACGTAAAACATCTTAAAATGTTTCTTGCTTGAAAATCTTCTTAAGCATTTCGAATTATGAATGTCTAAGATTAAATTCATTCTCTTGATTTTAAGCTTTGTCTTGTCTTTAATAAAATTTGAGTTAAGATAATTGTCCCACCAACTATACAAATTTCATTTTTGCTCTTGACTAAAAAATATTTAATTTCAATGGACTTTGATCTGCAATTTTGAATAAACGTTAGAAAACACATCATGATTGAAATCGCAACTTATGTTTGAAATGATGATTTATGGACACATTTTAGCGCATGTTTGTAACTATTTACAAGACAATCGCTCGAACGAACAGACCGATTGTCGGATTAAAGGATTACTGAGTATGGTATAAAATATATGCTTTTCTCCACAAAGTACTGGTCATCTTTAAGTACACGAATGTTTAATTTCGAGGATTTGCTTAAAAAAATATATGATAATGAAATTCAGAAACATTAATCATGAATGGCATTAAAGGTCAAATTATATTGTGATCAATTTTTTTTTCAGTGTGTATATTTGTTCATCCTCATGTCTTTCTTCTCCTCCATAGATAATTTTTGGGACTGGTTGTACGTGTATTTTAAAAGAGATAGCCGTATCTGCAGTAACTTTCATTTTAACAAATTATCGTGAAAAATAATACAATTCAGGTATATATTTAAAAAGAAAAACATGCCATTATTTGCACACTACTCTAAATATCTGATTCAGCAAATCTTTAATGGACTTGCATTGACGTCTGAAATGGGAAATCCTACTAGAAAAACAAAAGGGTTTTGTTTGTGGTTGTCTTATTAATCACTAGGAATCGTACGATCAAAGTATTTAAATTTTCTGGGAAAACACGAAGTGGGAGGGGTTTGTTTATATGTAGCAATATCCGTAAAACGAAAGTAAATAAACATGCATGTATTTATAGAGACGAGTTAAACTTAACTTAGTCATTGACTGCCAATTTTAAATATTGTAGAGACCAATGTCGGTAAGTATGATTGCCAAGTTGTCATGATTTTTCAGATCTCGAGGATGAATGCATATCAGTTACCACCCAGTCTGTGAATGCATAGAAAGTTAGAGATAAAAAAAAAATGTGCATTTTTTTTTTAGTTTCCCTTTATATTTCTCCTTTTTTGTCATAATTGTATCTTTGAGCATTTTACTTATTTTCTTAAAATATTATATTTCAATTTTGTGTTTAAAGTGGCATAAAGACCCGAAGGGCCGGGTGTTGATTGATTTTTTAAAATATTTGTATATAAAAAAAATTTATGTACACATGTCACAATAAATAAATTACTTACTATATGTAACGTATAATATTTTAAAGTAAACCGGACTTCTTAGAGTCTCTGAAATTTTTTAAAGATCTTTATTATTCAAAATTAATTTTGGGTACTTTACTGGTATTTAAAGAAAAGAAAGCGGTGTCGATTTATTCTAAATAATATTTTTTCTTTCAGAATAAGCCAAAATGCTTATCATGTAAACAAAAGGTCTCTTATGAAATGTCACTTATTTTGGGTCTTTGCTTTGAATTTTCTTCTCTTATTATCTCAGTAGTTGCAATATGCATAACCTATTGTGACGTAATCATTTTGATGTACAAATGTACCACTGATTTGCTTTAATCTTTTCATGCAGTGTAATATCTAAAAAAAAAATATTCTAAGTTTTTTTTTTCCAAATATGCATATTATATTTTACTAATCAGAGCATATTCATGTGTGAAATATGAGCATGTTGTCTTTTTGGACTCATAGCATTATTTTTGCAAAATAAAAATCAGCAACTTGACTATTTCATATAGTCATATTGTATTTTTTTTTATTTAGCAAAATTTAATAAGTATAACAAAACAATAGTTTTTACAGGAATCCCACAAAAATTTAAATTGAGCAAAAGATATTCATCTGGAGGGGGGGGGGGCTTTCCAATGTACAGTGTACTTTTGTTACTTCATATGAGAAACCACGCATTGAGCACCTAACTCGTCCGTGATTCTTTTAAGGTAGTTAACTTTGTAAATCACAATGACTGCACGACTTCTCAGATTATTTCAAGAACACCCACCTGATTTACCGAAGAATCCATTTTGCACTGAAATTTTTACTGCATTGACTATAATAAGTTCAAACTTTTTTTCAAATAACTTTTTTGTCAATCATTTACAATATTGATACAGGCACGACAATTTTTAACAGGATCACTTTTGGAAAGACAACTGAAAATTGAGATAGCAAGAATTTATTTCAAAAATATATTCTTTTCTGTATTAAGAACTTGTACATACAAAACTTCACAGTTTCGATCAGTTTCTTGTCAAATTGGCTCTTGAAAACTTTCATATTGAAATAAGGTATCATGTAATATTCTGGATTTTAAAGTAATTCTTGGATTTGTATATTTAAAAAAATCAGAATTTTGGATGCAAGAAGTTGAACATTATCAGAAATATGAAAGAAAAGCCGTGATATTACATTAATTTTGTTTACAGGTGTGATTCAATGACTTCCAAGGCATTTTGGCTTACGCTGTCGGTTTTGCTTTTTTACCAAGATCTTGCAGGTAAGCTAAATACATGTATATATAAGAACATTGTATAAAAGGGGTTTGGGTCAAGTTATTAGAAACTTTTATCGAACGAGAAACTTGAAAACTGCAAGCTTGTAAAATTCATACCAACGGATCTAGGTTCCAGCCAAGGAGGGGGTGGGGGAGGGGGGGGGTTAGGAGTGGGGACTGTGCATGTCATATATTGAAAATACATCTGGCGGGCAATTTGTTTATATGATATTAATGTTCCATGGGTACATACCTCAGGTTATGACCACGTTGGTCATAGATAAAAATTCCTATATACGTTTGAAAATCTCATGCAAGCAAACTAGGTGCATAACTTCGCCTTTCCATTTTGAGTAATTACGGCTTTCATGACTCCTTTCATTTTTTCCCTGTTGTTTGATCCTATTAAGCTTTCTTACATTTACAATCGTTATACATGATAATGATTTTCAGCATCATTATCTCATCGTGATTAACACTTTTTAAAAAATTAGCCTACATTCCAGTTGTAGCTACCAGTCTGATTAGAAACATTAAAACAGAGGAACAAGAAGAAGAATTTAAAGGTAATTTTTAAAACCTATTTACCATTGCTTACATTAAAGTATGACAAACACAACGGAGTTTTCTCTTGTAATGAAAAACTTCAATAAACAGGAAATAGGATTCTCTAAATTAGCTTGTAGCTACATAAATGAGGAAAGTTGACGATAGGAAAGTTTAAGTAATCACGTTTATCATAAAGTTTAGTTGTCAGTTTGCCATCAGTGTCTTTCTCTAGCAAACCGTCCAAATATGAAACAGATGTGGCAGACTCTGTGGTGTCTTTTATTTCAAGTTCACTGGGATATATCGAGTCGACATACAGTGTATGAATGAAAGTAACTATTGTTATTTGATAAGACTTCGTCGATAGATATAAAGTCACGTTAAAAGAAGGAAAATGGATAATTTTAGCCGTATGAATATTAATTTTTCTATCCAGGTGTCTCAATAATGTCCTATGAATGCGAAGTGATAAAAATTTGTATAAATTTATAAGGGTGAAAAAGGGCAAAAAGGTAGAAATTTGAACATGACAGAAGGTCTACAATTTCATCATACACTGTATTTTAGAAATTTTTAATTTGTATCATTAACCACCAAAATAGGTCAAAATGCATACCAATCCATGCATTCATTTTTGTTTGTACCACCTGTTCTAAACAATAATAATAGATCCTGCGTCACAAAGCAATTTAGGACTCTTGCGTATGTTGGGATTTGTTTTCAGACTGAAGTGTCTAGCAACAGAAAACAGTAATACATCACAATATAGTTAGTTTTGAGTACATATAAAATTTGTAATAAGTTACAAATAGAAACCATTTGCAATAGTTTCAAACGGTATAATTGTTAAGAATAATCTAATTGTCAATAAATATATTCTTTAATCAAGAAAATCATATTGCATTTTAGATACAACAGGGAAAAGTTGTGAAAAATGGGAAGAATACAATGGCGTTCAGTGTGTATGTGCACGGTCAAGTGGAAACCACTCACGCTGTGATGGGGAGACTGGAATGGTTTGCGATGGCCAAGGGGGGCAATATCAGTCGATTTGTCACTTTTCCCTCAGCATGTGTCAAGGAATCCTTTCCTACACAAAAGAAATCAAAACTTGCGGTGAGGGAAATAAGAAGAGGATAAAATAATAAATAATAAATGGATATTCTTTTGAGATGAAACTTGAAAATGAAAAGAATGACCGACTCAGAAGACGATGTACATTTTGATGAAATCGTCTGTTGTTGATAGTTTTGTTTCTTCTTTTCTTAAAAATAGTTTTACTGATAAAGATACATTAAAAAAAAAATCAAAACTACATAATTGTGAAAAATATTTTTGATATCTTGATAATTTAATTGAATGCAATATAATAATGCTATATTTAATTCTATGACGATTTTTCAACCAATTAGGACATTGTAAATGGTTGATGGTGACCTACAGTGAACCAAAAGTCCCTTCTCAGTCTGTTTTGTATCGAAGAAATGAAGAAAGCAAAGGATACGACACGTACTACAATTCTCTTGAAGACAATTCAAAAATTTTCTACGAAAAGGAATTAAACGCTTGGGTTATAGGTATGTAAGTCAATATTTGATGTACTATGAATTTTGAAATACAATAACAGGTGCATTTCTTTTTTATTAATGTTATTTTCAATAATCTTGTATTATTTTATATTTATTGAATGTCAAGCGTTCGATGTTCAAAAGATGAAATTTTGCTCTCTTCTGTCGTCCTTGACATGTGTCTAGTGTTAACCTATAAGGCAGAGGCTACTTTAATTTTTCTTCTTTCCCAGTTTTCTGCATTTATGTTTTCCCTTTTCATCATCTATTTTTCCCTTTGTGCATTTTTTAAACATACCCTCTTTTGCAGGCATTAAAAATGAGACTGGTTCCTTTGTGTCCTTGGTTCAACACGAAAACGTGTTGTTTCCTCAAGATAATGCTGGCGGAATGTTGGTGGTAAACAAAACGGAAGGATCTACTGTGGACTTGCAAATCAATCCATATTTTCAGATAAAATGTCTGAAAGGTACATTACATTAATATTTACATATAACAACCATTAGTCATGTGTTAATAGTGTGCATATATCAAAAGAATAAAAGATATTTTGTCATGTCAACTAAATATTTTTATGATAATAAATTGGTGATTTGCGTCTGATTTTTTCATTTAATATTTAAAGTGTTCAAGAAATCAATGAATTAAAATGTATTTTCATTTTCCAACTAAATTTTTTTTTGTTTCTGTTTAGATTCAGATATTGGCAAAATAAGAAAACGTGAGAAGAGATTTATATTGTAAGTATTTTAGAGGAAATTTACAATCTCAATTTTTTTGTAATCACAATACATGTATTTACTTTCGACTTAGTATTTGTTACTGAAGTATTAACAAGTGCCTCGAATAAAATAGTTAAAGCATGTATAGTTAAAGCATATTTTATTTAGTCTTATCTGTCATAGGTGATTAATGATTATATTGGAAGAAGTTAGTTAGTAAAATGCAAAATTATAATTAATTGTTTTGAGAACGAAGGTGGGTAAGCAGTGAAGAAATATTAAGTCTAAGCAATCGATAAAGACTTTGGTTGGTCTAAGTCGAGACAATCGAGTAAGCTTGAAATTATCATTGATGCAGTTGAAATATAAGAAACAAAAATGCTTAATTTTATACCAAAATGTACATGTACCAACAAGGACAAAAAAAAAAAACCATTTTCTTTTGCTTTGTTTTACAGTACACTGATAGCAGTTATATCTACGGTGGTCTCCGTAACGGCAGTAGCAACATCCACAACGTTAAAGATTATACAGGCAAAAAGAGGATGCTTATATTATCCCAGTGTGTGTAGATTAAGGTAATTATTATTCTTTCAGTAAATTTTTCTACGTCAGACAGAGCTTGAATATCATTGGTTTGACGTCATAACATTTTATGTCCAGACTGCAAAGTGGTCATGAAATACAGTTTTAATTATGTCATGTGCTTAAACATTGCTAGGTTGTAATTTTTATTTTTTCAAAATATTAAACACATCTTTTTGCATTAGTTTGTAAATATTTTTGATATGATAACGGTTCAAAGTTTTTGAATGACTTGAATAAAATTCATGAAAATAAAGAAAGTATGAATTATAACCAAAATATTTCAAAAATTGCAATGCAACTTACTAAATTATGCACGTTTCTTGTGTGATATTGATGCCACATGTAGTAATTTCTTTTTCTTATTTACAGGGATGAAATTAAAAATACTTTAAAACCAGAAGTAGAGACGTTGAAGAGAAGCTTCTTGACAAAATATGGGGACCCAGAAAAGATAAAAGGAAATGTGGAAAAACACATAGACATGATATCAGATATAAATGAAGCCGTAACCACAATCAAAGAATTGCATGTAAAATCCAATTCTAGTCTTTCTGAGCTTACAACACGTTTAGGTTCTCTTACTATGGATGTCTCAGGTGTAGCCAATCTACTGTCCGAGTATAATGAATGGCTAAATGGTACAAAACTACAGGCGGTTTTTAGCATAATAGGGTTTGAAATAGAGTTAGTAATCACTGTAGCTACCTTACCCTCAATTATTAGTTCAGCGGCATCGGCATTAACTGCTGGAATCGCCATTTTTACTAGCGTTATAGCTATTGGATTTGCAATAGCTGATATAGTTTCTAGTGTGCAGGAAGAAAAACGCATAAAAAATAAATTGTTAAGCGCTAAATCAGAATATTTAAGGGCCCGAAGAAATTTAAAAACAGCGCATTCTCAAATGATAAAGTTACAAAAACAATTTTGTGAAAAAGTTATCAATTATCTACGGCAATTTTCAAAAACTGGAAAAAATTACCATAAATTGTTTTCGAATTTATATAATAAAATAGTTTCTCTTTACGGTAGATGGGGAAATTGTGCGGAAGAACGTATTTATTCTAAAACAAACATGCACGTCTTAAGCATGTTAGTAATTTATGTGAAACCACTTGTAAAATATCTATCTGACAATGTTAAACAACTTAAAGAGAAAATAAGAGAGGTAAAGATGATGACACAATTTCTAAAGGAAATATCGGATAGTGTTAAAATTAGAAAAAAGCAACCGTCAAGGATATTTGAAGAATTAGAAGTGTATGGAAGTTATACGTCAATTCCTAAACCAGTTTTTTCGAACTTGTTTGATCTCTTAAGATACATAGCAAAAGATATTTTACCAAAAACTGATTGTTACTGGGGACATGATCTAAAGCTTATTAGATCGGGAAAAAGAAGACAATACAACTATTTGAATTCACCAGTTTGTCCCAGCTCTGAAATACAGGAAACGATAAAGATTATTGAATCAGGTGTCAAAAATATAACGAATCCATGTCTGATACATCGACACGTGAAAGGCAATATATTTCGAAGTAAATATTTAGTTCTACGATATATTGCAGAACATATAATTCCTACATCAAATTGTTACTGGGGATACAATCTACAGACCATTCGACTAAATCCAAACCCAATTGAACTTGAGATGGTAAAAATATCCTCAACGCTTTTTACAATGCTTAAAGTCTTTTCAATTGTTAACATAACAGAAGCAACCGTCCAAAGAGCGAGGGCATATATGTGTTCGAAATCTTTGATTTGTGGTGAAAATTGGCAATCGTTTATTCTGTGTTCTGTATGGAAAGATTCTGTTGATCCGAATGTTTTGGATTGCAGAGGAAAGTCCAGTTCAGTGCGTGATAAATACTGTGTTCCTCCACAAGACCGATTCCAAGAATGCGAATAAAACTCTCAAACTTGAACTGTAATGCAACCTAACACTGTTTGATAAGTAATATAAATAGCCAAATAGGCAAAATCTGCGCATACTTTTATAAAGAAAATATTTTACATAACATGCAAACTACTTTGTGTGTGTGAATGTATGTTGACAGGATTCTTTTCATATTAACTTGTATGTTGACAGGATTCTTATTATATTAACTTTTTTGTAAAACTACAAGTAGTATGTTTTATTAATTCAGGATTAATGAAAATAAAGACATATACTTGTTGGTATAATTGCAAAATAGCTACACTTGCATTGTTAAATGATTGTGTTTATTAGTACATAGTAAAATGTATTATTACACATGTCGATGCTTTATAATTAAACTGTCATTTTGAATGAAATATGAATAAATAAAGTTATAAATATGGAAGTTTTTTTTCAGAATGCCTACGGTCTCTTAGAAAACAATAATTGATATGTTCTTGATCTTTTCTTTAAAAATGATATCAAATTGAATGTAGGTATCGTGATTACTTTTGACAGAAGTTCAAGTTTAAATTCATGAAAAATGATTTATTTTCTACATAATTCATCTATAAGCATAAAGTATTGGGGAAAAAAATTAATTTCAATATGACGTCATAACGGATTTAACATCAAAAAGACGTATAAACTCATTTACTAGATTTTGACCTTCATTAATAACATTGTAGATAATGATATTGTTGATACATAACTTTAAATGATTTGATTCTTTCTTATGCAATAAACAGTAATTAAATAGGACATCTCTCTCTCTCTCTCTCTCTCTCTCTCTCTCTCCTAAAGAATGAAGACATTATGAGAACATTATGTGCATACTGAGAAAAAGTTAAAACACTTAGTTTCTTTAAATATCGTATTTCAATAATACTTACACAGCTTGTAAGGTAATCAGTTGATTAATTACCAAATAACTAATAAACGGGTGTAATGGACAGTATATACATATTAAGGGTACTTTTAATACTTCGCTAATGAGCTAGGTTTTCTAGTGATGCAGTTAGTCTCCCTCCAGGTTAAGCTATGTACAGTGAGCACGAATAGCCCTTGGATGGGTGAACTTTTCACGTAACAGCATCCTGTACGAGAAAAAATCTCGTCACGTAGACTTCCATTAATGTTTTAGACTCCAGGGTATAGTGAGCCGAAAAAGAAATCCCAACTTCTCCAAAATGTAATGACTTGCATGAAACCGCATAGCCTTAGCTCCGCCTCCGTATTGATATCAAGATTTAAAGCACAGCAAACTTCAAAGGAAAATCATCGCATCTATGATAAAAAAGAAAGAAAAAAGAAAAAAAAACGTTTCAAACATTTTGTTAAATCGTTTTTCATGTAAACTTTGTGAATCTAAACTGCTAACCAATAATAATTTAATTGAGCGATCAAAGTGATAAAACAAAGAGAGAGAAAAAACAAAATCCTTATAGCTTTTGTAAACCACGTGTACAAAAAATCAAAAATTAAATCCAGCGTCCAAACATTAAATTGCATGAAATTTTGCAGTTGTTAAAAAAATAGGTCGATTTGATAAAAAAAAAATTTATAAACATCATACAGAGCTTAGCGGGTGTGGGATGAATAGCTAGAAAATAATTGAGAAACACAAGAGGTTTCTACGAAATTTTGACCTGCAAAAAAGAAGAACAAAAGATGAAACTAGAACAAAATAAACTTATCTCGTATGTTTGTGTGTGTGTGTGTTTGGGGGGGGGGGGGGGAGAGAAGTTATACTTTTAATATAAATTTCCATATCAAATTAATACTACGAATCTGGTATAATTGATCGAAATTCCCTAGTTAATGATAGTCTTATCGAGAATCTATTTTATATATATATATATATATATATATATATATATATATATATATATATATATATATATATATATATATATATATATATATATATATATATATATATATATATATAAGCGATATCGCTTATATCGATAAAATAAGCGATTTGGTCGTCCACAACGCAGAAAATTCAGGTTGTATCGCGTATATTTTAGTAAGATTAATGAAGAGCTGATCAGCCATTTTTGCCTTTGACGTCACAGGGTCACGTGATCGCTATCTAATTAACTTAGATTTTTAATTCAGGGGTTTTCATTTGAGTCAATAATGGGTTAATTACCGCGATTTATCCACAGTAAAAACACAGAATTTATAAGTTGTGGTCATAAGGAACGTAATACGCTTTTAGTTTCAAATTATTTAGAAACATGCGATAAGTCCTTTAAAGACTCAGAAATAAAGATTTTATAATTCTTGAAACTTTAACATTTTGCTTTCACAGAATACTTCATAAATCACATGACGATACAACCATTAGTGACAAAAACAAACGAGACAAACAAACGTGTCACAAAACAAACGTATTTACATTAAGATGTCGGGGAAACCAATTCACAATAAAGCATAACAAAGAAAATGAAGAAGGAAGATACATGGATAAGAGTTATTGCCCTTCGCATATTTTTTAACAGAATAAATAATCAAATAACTATAGTAAATATATTTTTTAACATTATTTTATTAAAAATAAATTTTAATTACGCCTATTTAAAAATTTTCTTTAAAAAAAAATATATATATAAGGAATCTAAATTAATGAAAGATTTTGCAAGAATGCATGACATCACATGAGGGTGGAAATACTTGCGTTTGGAATCAATTAGGAGACATGAAAAACAAATCAAAATCCCCCAAAATATCAAAGAATGTGTTATAATTTATGTTAAAATACCTAAATACAATGCAATACAAAGTGTATAAATATCTACATGTAATTATAACACTTTATAGATTGAAAAGACACCTAAAAATAAAACAACGTACAGGTTATAACACAAGTTTAAAGACCTTATACGTTTCTGTACTCAGAATAAATATTTAACATATGATAATGTGCTGATCTTGAATGTCTTGATCCTATAATTATAAAGATTGACACTGTCCGCAAACTTTTCGAACAACTCTCGTCTGCTCTCTGAATAGAGGAAGAAAATATTTGAATCAAGAGGTCAGTTAAGTTGTTGCTTGCAAGATGCATGAAGATAAATTGAAGATTTTGAAATCGATAAAGTAAAATGAATCTCTCATGGTATATTTTAAATCTAAAAAGGCTAGGCATAATCTAGATGCACATGTATTTGAGTTGTCGCTCTTCCAATGTGCCATTGACAAAATCTCTTCGAAACACAATTTTAGTATGCCTTCGCGTCTCTTTTTTAAATAAATAATTCGACTGATAAAGCTTTTTCAAAATGACAAAGCTTTTACAACGCGAAATTAACTCCTTATAATTAAAGCTGCTATTAAAGTCTTTAAAAATGTTACAAACTTTTTATGTTAGCTGCTGATGTTTGATAGTTATGCTAACCCTATGCTGTGTTTCACACGGAAGGATGGATGAGGGGTTGCTGTGTTACTACAGGAAGTAGATTCAATAAGAAATTTCTTGTAGATTAGGACACAAGTATTTGTGGACAGGACCGTGCTTCTATGATGTATCCCCATCCCCCTCTTTTTAATGATTTTTAATTTTTTCTTTTTTAAATATGATTTTCTTTATTTTTAATTTCTTACCAATTCATATACATATTCCTTTTCAAAAATCACATTAAAATTAGATCCAGGTGCAAATTCTAATAATATTCGTTAGCCATATATAGAGAGGATATCTATATTGTGTGTTTTGATATTTGCTTTATCCAAGGAGTTGAATGGTGTATATTCGCGAGGCTTGTCGAGCGAATATACACCATTTCTACGAAAATTCAAAGAGCAAATATCAAAACACACAATTATAGATGTTCTATTTATCTCATACAATTTTCGTTTTTAACAAACTTTGAGATAATCCCTGTGAAACTCTGATTGATTTCAACCAAATCGATGACGCGTAAATTGATGACGTCGTACTGTTGACGTTGACATGCCGAAAGAATGTTATTTGTAGATCATGACTGTTTAGAATACGAAATCTTGGAATCTTTTAAAAACATGTGTGACAATTTGTGGGAGATATATTTCATACAAAGGACAAGATAGGCTAAGACCCCTTTTTGGCCCCTGGTTTGGGGTGTCTTTTAGAATGATGCAACAGTTTATCAATGAAAACCTGTTGTCACTCCTACCACAAAATGAGTATTGGTTTCAAGTTATGGGATACACAGAGGTCACAGGAAGGTAAGAAAATATGTCAATTTCTGAATTTTCTCATTTTTATGCAAATTTTCATCGATTTTACAGCACATTTTGTTTCAGAAAACATAGAGCACAAGCTTGCCTATCTACCAAATTTATATATTTCATACACTAGTATCAGATGCATCTTGTGTATAAAAATCTCAGATAGGCAAGCTTGTGCTCTATGTTTCCCGAAGTGAAAAGTATCTTAAAATTGACGAAATTCCACGAAAATTGAGGAAATTCGGGAAAACGTCTTACTTCTGCACCTTATTGTGGCCTCCGTGTAAGCTTTGAATGAAAATCAGTGCTGGTTTAAAAACAAGCATCATTTTAAGTTCTTAACAACAAACTATCACAGTTTTAACTGTGTTCCAATTTTTACGCCCAATAAGGGGCCAGATTCAGCCATTACCATACTTTGTCATTTTGACTGGAAGTTCAACAGTCTTGTACATAAAGACCAAGGAATCATCATGATTCGTCCTCTGAAATCATTCTATGTACGGCAGTGCTAGGCTACTTGTAGATCCATGGTGAGTTATATAGTTTTTAGAGTCTCTCTCTCTCTCTCTCTCTCTCTCTCTCTCTCTCTCTCTCTCTCCAGACCATGAAAATTCTACAAACTGGTATTCCTAATCAATACAATCTAATCTTCTATCTACTTTTAACAGGTTTGCATGTACAATTTACCATGATCCCAGATGTTTTCCCCCTTCTACCTGTAGTTTGTACCAGCTATAATTTATACACAATATATGCTATTCCCCTATCTACCTTTGACAGTTACAAGATTAATCTAAATATGAGGATATTACCCTAGTTCCAGATGTTTCCCCCACCTACCTCTTAAACTAATTTTACAGGTACGATGACATTGAACCGGGACAGATTTTCCCAACTACCTGTAGTTTAT